CCCCGACATTTAAAAAAAAGTCCTAATATATTGGACATTAGTGTTGTCACTTATCTTATAGTATACTATTTTTATCAAATGTAAAACTTCTTGTCAATTCCTAACATATTAATTTGTTAAAAAATTAATTCAATATCTTTTTACATTAGTAAATAATACTAAAAATTTTGTTTGTGAGGTTCAATAAATGTTGACACCCCCCGAGAAATCACCCAAAATACGCCACTGCAAAACCTAGTAGGTACATTACAATTTTTAGTATTAGAAAAATCAATTATCATATTGAAAAAATCTATCGAGAATATGTTTGTTTTTCCTTTTTCATAATTGTAATTTCATAATTTATTTAAGTATTGTTCTCTAACAGTAGTCATGACTCATGAAACTTTCAAGGTAACGATCAAAAGCAATTAAATTTTTTGTTATCATCGTGGAGTGCTTTTAATAATCATAATCTAATCTAAAAATATGTCACCATAATCTAAATTAGATTATTTTGTACATTTATAGTGGTTCAAGTCACAAGTACTTAAAACATTTTTTTTTTTCAAAATTCACTTATAAGAAAAATAGCTTGGCCAGTTAATAGTATAGTAATTACCATAATTAAGTAATGAGCAGAAATGCTAATTAATTATGATTAACTATCCTAATAAATCAATAGTCTAAAGAGAACGCTTCATCCACAGAAGTCTTTCTAACACATAATTTATAAAAATTTGAACGTACATACTACATAGCAGTTCTAATTTTGTGTTATTAGTTCAAATTTTAAGAGTGAATTTGACCTAATCCTTCCTTCTTTCCTTATCAACTTTATGGCAACCATTTGGTTGAAAAATACAAGCATCTTTCAATATCTCTCCGTACTCCGTTTAAAGCTGCTTCACAAGCATTCCTTATAATAGTTCTCTACTATTTTTCTACATCCATCTCTGCTCATCGTTCATTGATGATTTAGCCCGTTTACGATGTATTAAATTTTTTAGTGAGTCTTCAATTTAAAATTAAGATTTAAAAATGGTCATATAATTTACTTAAAAATTAAAGCATCTTAAAAAACTAACCAGAAACACAGATATGATGATATTTTTACATTCAAGTTCCAATTCATTTATTTTAACTCAATACTACAAAATCGAAGTCGCTGGACGAAATGTTGGTAAATTATGCGCTAGCAAACCGGACGCCACCACACACGCGGTCCTCTAAATTAGTGTTACTCAACCTCTTTACTGTATACTGTGGCGACTCCCTTTTTGAACTCTAATTTTTTAGCAGTCCCCCTTACACGTATATTTTTTGTGTGTTTAAATATTTAAATCATAKGCTTGGAAACACTGCTCTAAATAGTGAATAATTATAGATCGACATGCAAAATCGTAAGCACATACCTCTTGCGGGTAAATCCACGTGATGGACGCGATCCGGACGATCCGGTTGATCCATTTCGATGTTTTCGACGCTGCGACATAATATAAAGCGCTTACACGCCGCATACGCACACCGTATCTTCTCCCAGCACCAACTTATAATAGTCATCCAATATGAATCTTCAACTTCTCGACGACCACGACCAAAATTTTGAAAACGGGTTTTTAACAAACAAAGTCTGATCGTCGCCTAACGACGGCTGCACAAAAACATGACGTACACAATATCTACCGCAGCTCCGTGCATAAAAACAAAACCATGTATATATATATTTTAATATTATGGTATATTTCATTATTATTGCGTGTGAATACGACATAAGAAATAATATACACATAGGACGCAAATAGTGCCATTTTTCTAACAATATTTCTCTTCTACAATATATGTACCTACCTATATATAATATTATTTTTTTTTATCAGTTATTATGCGGTATTTTCGTTAATGCGCGTTTGGTCACGGTTGTTGATAGTCACGAGTGGATGTGGGGCAGAGAGCATCAAGCAGGTTGTTTCAAATATTGTTTATGATGATGGAGATTTGAATAGTCGCATACCTATGGTACGAAACAGTGGTCAAATGGACGCGCGATTGATCGTCAGAAACGGAGAGAGATCGGAAGAAGGAAAACGCGCATAAGGCTCGGCGCGATGATGTTTTGTATAAGGTTTTTTTTTCGCTTGCGGTCGCAAAAAGGGAAGGGAGAGAAATCGAACATGAACAGTTTTCACACTTTATCATCGGCGTATAAAATATGTAACGGAGAACGCTTTAACCCGAAAATAATAATTCAGTGCGTAGGAGGAAAATATAATAATATATAACAGTCATTACACTGTGTAAATCGTAGAGACGGACGAATTACGTATGATTAAAATATATGGATAGGCCCGGCTAGGAAATATCTAAGTCAGCGAGAACGCTTATATTGATGTGCATCAAATTTATTTAAATCGTAGAAAAAACAGTAAATTGTAATAAACCAACAGCGTTCAACATTTTTTTTCCTTCTTCATGGGTATACTGTTATATTTTTTTATCTAAATTATATTAAAATACTTTTTAGTGTAATATTTAGTGTTTACTTTATTTTAATACTTTCGAGATGGACTCAAGCATAATACTACTACCAAGACTAATAAATGGCACTCAGAATATTCTACAATATTTTCAGCACATTACTAGAAATGGCTAGAATTTTTGCAGAATAACTAACCCTTACAAATTAAGAAAATATTATTTCAGAGTTAAATGAGCAAAGCAAACAATTTTTGTTTGTTAATTTATTGTTTTGAAAAATGTTTATCGGATCAATACTTAATCTGAAAAAGTAGGTATAGATATTAAGAATACATATTTTATATAAAAACTGTTGTTGAAAAAAAAATAATACACTTCATAAATGAATATATATCTAACATTTATAATATATATTATATTTGTACTTTTATACATCCTAATATTAATATATTAATTCAAATTAAGAAGGAATTATTGATTAATGTACAAATCCTGCGTACAACAAAAATAATAAATTATAAACCATGAAAATAAAATATAAAATTATACAGAGTTAAATAATCATAAATTATGAAGCAAACACAGTGAAGGATAAAAATAATAATATGTAAATAAGAACAGTAAAATAAAATATTTAAATTTAAAAAATGTGACAGTCATTAGAATTTAACTACTAAGATTATGAAAAACATGATATATAAAAATTTAAGCACGCCAATTATAGCTGATACTTCTAAACAAATTAATGAAAACAATAAATAAAAATAAATTACTGAATACATAAGTCTTTCATATGTACAATATGTTATATTGTACACTTAATCTTAATTTTATACCCAACAAACTTTAATAGGTGACGAAGTATTTGAACTTCCAGTCGTATGGTAATTAAATGATTGATTGATAGGTGTGGCTGACACGGAACTCCATCTTCTTGAAACTTTATCGATTGGAAAATGTCCGGTTGGTGGCAATCCCAATTCGGGGTAAGTCGGAGAATTACTGTTATCATGTGAACTGATTGATGAGAAACCACTCTCATCTTCCATGACATTATTTTTTTGCTTAGTTTCTTTTTTGAAAAAGTCTGATCCCTTAATAGATGTTTCACTATGGTTTGAACTGCTACTAGAAACTTCCAAGCATTTTACACCGTTACAAACAGCCGGTAAAGAATCGCAACTACAAAGCTGAAGATAGGGAGACAATTAATAATAATTTTATGAACATGAGAAAAAAAAATACTGTTATATTCAAGTTACAAACTAATACTTACAGAAGAGTTGCTAATCTTTTCAAACAATGTACTATAGCATGGTGTTAAGTGTTGGACTAGATCTGGTTCTTTGGTATGAATTATAGACTGAACGGTGCGATACAATCTATAAGCTTCTAGTGAGAGCTTTTCTGTAAATTCTCCTTTGTTACTCTTCAGTGATGGTCTTCTAGACAAAGATAATAATAAATTAATATTATACAAATACAATTAGCAATATCAAAATTATGAATAAAATGCAAACATTTGCAAGATATTGTTATGAAGACATTTTGTCCTGTTGAAGAATTTCATATTTTTTTAGTTTACCTATTCTTGATGGGCAGATTAGGTTTGTCGTGGTTGGTGTTTAAAGATGTATGCGCTTTTTCCAAGAATTTAGACACTTGCTCCAACACTGCTTTATACATTTGATTACTAGCCTCAACCTGTAAACAAATTTTAAGTTATTTGTGTTTAAAAAAATGCATGCGATTAACATTGTGAAAAAAATTGTATATAAATATACGTGTACAACACGCACCTGCTTCAGTTGCCACTGAAGAGTGTCTACTTGGGATTTTGCCAATGTCAACTCGATGCAAGGCGCCTGGTCATTGGCATCTTTGTGCATCAGTTTCTCGTGTTTGGAACGCAAGTCGTCGTAGAGCTAGCAAGAATAAAACACCAAATGATAATTTATTATTAATTAACACAATAAGTACCTAGCAATAATATGGTTTTCGAGGGGCGATTATACAGCGGGACGACGAATTATTTACATATTATTTTGTTTTTGTTTAATGTAGAAAAAAAGACAAAATCATCGGGCAGTCATGGTTGATAAACCATGTGTGAATCCTGTACCGTCCCGAAACTGGGTTTACTACTTGTGCGCACAACATGTTAAACATATTACTCAATTTTCAAAACACAGAATACCCAAATTTTAGTTAATGCTTATAGTACGAAGGATAAATAACGAAATGGTCTAAGTACGATTAATCTTGATTCTTGACCTAATATAGAGCACGTGATCTATGATATAATAGACATGACTTTCTCTTCACAATATTATAAAATCAATGGTATTATTAATATTCGAAATAAAATAATATTATGATAATACGATTGTCACGTAAGAGCTGAATATTTTACTTAAGTGCGCAAAAAAAATGTACAAATTAATCAGTTAATTACTTACTGGCTTAGCTTTAATAGGTATTTATTTAACGCAACAAACAAGTGTTTGTTTCAAATAGCACAGATCAATATAAATGTAATGCTTTTAGACCAATAATTTCAGATAAGTTCAGACGAAATGCAAAACAAAAATACGGATTATGTAGATTGCCTTTGTGTAAAGAAATCGTTAGAATCAATTTGTATAGTAAAATGCCCATTTTTAGTACCAGAAACAGATAGATACGGGCCAGACAAAAACTAACCTAACCACCACCATTAATAAAAATGTTGAAACACTGTTGACATTGCAGCAAAACATATAAAAAAAAAAAATAACCACAAAGAATTTGACGGATAATGAATCAGAATAATAATATATGGTTTACCATGTACTGAGGCGTACTATTATGAAACAACAATAGCCAAACAACATTTAAAGGAATTATGCTCTGGCTGTATTATACGTGTAATTATATACACTCTATGCATGAACACGAAATTTGTGACAGACTGACATCATGAGTACAAAACCATGCAAGTCGGGCAATTGATCGAACGCTAGAGAGAAAGCATTTTTTTTTACTCTAACAAAAATAATTAAAATAATAGTAATAATCATCGCCACATCAAGACAGGTATATAGGTACTCTGAAGTATTATTTAAAATGGTTTTGTTTTATCATCAATTAATTTCCACGCTTTTGAATCAGAAATATTGATCAAATAGTACTCCGCAATATAACAATAACAACATCAAAAGTAGGCTATATTTTATAACAATTGACAAAGAGCCAATAATATTCAGTGAAAGTATATTTCTTTAGAAAAGTTATTTTTCACTAATGTGCCATTATTATAATAATATTATCTGATAATTATTAATTTTATAACAATCTCACTTTCAGCCAGATCAAACATAATACGATCTGATGCAACAGACCTTGCTAATATCGACTAGCAAGTACAACGCAGAAGTAAAAAAAGTTACACTTTATTGATAAATAATGGGAAATTTTTTGGTTATTTGTTCAATAGTGTTCTAGTTTTCAAAGAAAACCATACAGGTATAACTATATAGATTAAATTCGCTGGAGTGTAATTTTATGCAACAAACACACATATTTTTTGGTTTAATGTAATATTTAAAATTGTTGAAGGTTAAAAATCCAATTTTTACAATGGTCATATTGTACGTTCGAGGTTTTTTTTGTTTTGATTATAAATGATAAGAAAATATATTTACTACTATGTCGAATTCTGTGAAATTATACACGGCGACAAGCGTCGACAGACCTTCCCCGGCTTCCCTGCCATAATTCGGCTAGATTGCACAATTATTATAGTATAATATTACTATTACCTCTTTTCTTTCAGTTATTATTTTATTATATACTCAGGAGACAACGAAGAAATAAAAAACGTTACTGAATCAATACACGGGTATATTTATTTTTTGTTAGTATATCTGCATCACAATATAAATGAACAAATATGTTGTACAATTGGAAAGCTATCGATTTTACCGACGATTTAAAAAGAAAATAATCATATATAATCTAGATTTTTTTTGCATAATAAATTAATGAAAAAAAAATCTCTTGCGAGTGATTTTAAAATGATTTTGTGTGTGTGAATTTATGTAGAAAAAATAAACTCAACCTATTTATTTATAAATATCATTCAAGTTCCTATGATGACTGGATTTCTAATTTTTATATATCACACTATTGTGAATAAATAAATTGAATATTTTTCAGGTACCTATTAACATTAAATTACTTATATCTATTAGATAACTATGAGCAATAAAATATTTTTAAGAAACTATGCACAGAGTATGGAGATACTTACATTTTGCAAATGTTTGTATTCTTTTTTAATAAATTCGAATGATTCGCTGTTTTCATTTGGTTCAAACCTTTGAGAAAGTCTTCTATTTACCTAAAAACCATAATATTTCATATTTTACAAAGTTGTATTCAATAACCTTTGCATAATCATTTAAATAATAATAAAAAAAAAAAACAATTTATAATAAATACATAATACACAATATTATTTAATATTTACAATACACTAACAAAATATATTGAATAAAAGAGATATTATATAGGTACACACTTATGGCCCACAAAATATTATATTTTGTCAACAATGGAATTTTGATAGTAGCGCCAGAAATATGAATAGCATCGAGAATACTTGACAGTTTTTATGGAGAAAGTTATCTAAATTATTACAAAACAATTTCAATACCAGTAGTAATAATCTACAATGGTAAAGACGATTCTAGAATTAACATTTGTAAGTCTGATGTAACAATCACATTTCATCAACTATTAATTTGTATGTCATATATAAATATTTGAATTAATATGCTCTTACTGAAAAAAATTGTATAATATACATTATACGCCATACGGGTATTATATAGGAAATTAGCGTGGAAATGAATACAGGCAGGTCGCAGAATATATAGTATAATATTATACTGTTTATACAATTTAGACTAGAGGACGCGCCAGTAATTTCTGCGGGCCTTACACATTCATAAAACGCGTTAAAAATAATAATGAAAATAAAACCGAGATAATTTTATGGTCTAATTATTCATCGCATTAATTAAACGGGAACGAAAGTTTAGTTAATAATGTTTATGAAAATTAAAAAAAAGAAAGAAAAGAATTTACTAAAGTATTGGACAGTTTTAAATAAATATAAACTGTAAAATCATAATATAAAAACAGCATATTTTATCAAGTTTTAATATTCATAATAAATATTGGCTATATTATGACATAATCGTCATAATTATGCTTTTTTTTGTACATGGATATAACTGTTCACATGTGTGAACATTATTTGTTCAACGAGTATTATGTCCTTCTAACACTTCAAAACAACGGCATATTACCTGTAATCTAACCTCGAACACATCGTGATTCTGTCGTGATCATAATATCAATTATTGTACATATTTTGTATTTGTTGGTTATTATAGTTATTACATAACTCAATACATCACATTTGTATTACATTTACTTATTAAATAAAAAATACATTTTTGGCGTGCCTACAAATTCTAAGTCTAATACCTCAGCAAAAAAATATTGAATACCTAAGTTCTCGGTGACTCGTGAGAACGAGATAATCTTATAATGAAACAACGAAATAAACCCGACAATTTTATTATTATTCTAATATAATATGTGAGGAACTTATTCAAATATTTTTGAGTTATGACTCATCGTTGTTTTGTTTGAAGTACCTAGTGAGGTTAATAACAATTTGAAACCATTAAATAATTCAAATTGCATTTTAATACAACGGTATTTTTGGTCGAAAATTCCCACGGAATAAGAATAATATGATTGTTATAAGTTTATAACATCGTTCTAATATAGTTGTAGATATCCAGTAAGGAAGGCACAGAAACATTAGGCAGTGCTTCAGGATAAATAAATTTTAAAATTAAAAGGCAAAACTCACAAACTGCTGCTGTAGTACTGATACATTTTTATTGTGTTACCCAGAATTGTACCGCTTCTTTAACAGGCCTTTATACTCTAATTTTGGTAATTATATGTCCGGTTATTTCTAGGTTCTACGTTATTTATACATTAACTTAATTGTTACATCTTCAACATTAAAACGTTTTAATTCTTAACGATTATATTACTAGAGTACAGATAAATAAAAATATATTATTTTGTACAAACGTAACATCTGTATGAATTGTATGAAGTAGATAGGTAGTTACACATATATGTCATAAATTGATTTCAGTCTAAAAATTATAATAACCGAACTCAAATAAAGTAAAGCAGTTAAAAATAATCAGAAAATGCACTACTAATATGAACTATCTCAGATAAATCTCACTAAGAAAATGTAGGGGCATCAAATAAAAAAGTGGAAATTCGATCCAAAGTAGACTTACGACAAATTAAAAAAGTTTTCAGAAAGCTTATTCACTTCACTAGATCAATTGATAGGTTTGAAATAGAACACATCTATATTTCTATGCTACAACTTACAAGTGACAAGAAAAATCACCACTTCTTATTCTCTTAATATTTTATTTAATATTAGACGGGTCTTGTGTACTTAATCCATCTAAAATGTAATATTTGATCAAAAATAAATATAATATTACAATTAAGCCGGGATTTGTATGCGAAAATTTGCTCTCAAAAATTCAGAAATTAACAAAAGAAAATTCTTCATTGTGTGTTAAAAAACTATAATTAAAACATCAGTATACATCTGAGACCCACTGACGAGATACTTACTGTTAAATAAATAAAACCAATGTAAAATTAATAACAGAAAATGTAATGTTAATTTGGAACGAGAACCAGTACCAATATGAAGTTACAAAATGTAATTTTATACTTTCAAATTTACGATATTACGTAGCATAGATCTATATTTTAAAAATGTATTTTGTGAATCAGATAAATTTTTTTTAAAAAATGCAACTTTTATACAATTATATGGAAATATGACAGTATTTCATTAATAAATTACAGTAAATAATTTTTTTTTTAAATATAAAAACAGAAAACTTTTATAAGTATTGATCATATATTATGGTATATTTCCATTAGTAACAATATTTTATCAACAATTTTAAATATTTCGGTAATATTTAATTAAAATTAATTATTATATTTTCATTATTTAATGTATATACCTAATTACAAACATAATCAATTTAAGAAAAGTACTGAATGAATATAGGAATAGACAAATAGTACCTAAGGTAGGTCTGGGAAAATTTGTTTAAAAATAATAAGATACAAATTAGTAAATACTACACAGAACACACAAGACACAACTACCTATAATATTATAAATGATAGATACGAAATAATATAACTAATAAGTAGTAACTACCACCTACCACCAAATATTATATTTTTTTAATATATAATTGTACCTAAGTGTCCATATCGTTGTTATCTTTTTTGACACAATAACTGAATGTAAAATTGACCTTTAAACCGTTACACTCCATGTACTTTCTAATTCAAGATCTCATATAGCTCATATTATAAAATTATATTGTTATATTATGTGCTCAGTATTCACTATAAAACAGAACAAACATTAGTGTTCATAAAGTATGCATTTTTAAACGAGTGCTTTGCGTCAGTATGTTATAAATGATATCCGTACTTAATGCTTATTAGTAACGAACTACAATAGTGCGTAATACATTATAACAAACACCTATTTTTAACAGGAATAACACTACAAGCTAACAGTGTCATCTAAAACGACATAATTATACTATTAAAATTATTCGGGCGATACCCGTTAGCTTACATTCAACCTTTTTTGCGATTCGTTTGCGTACAAATGTACAACTCAACTGCGCACACGAATTTTTAATACCTGTGATTAACGACTCAAAACGTAGGACTCGTTTGCGTACATAAACTATGGCAAAAGTTTACAAAAACTCAAAAGAACTAACAAAAATAATGTTTAAGATTGTATTTCTCACTTTTACAGGCTTAGGATTGTCTGTATACAACAGGCGTGATTAAAAATATGTGTGTGTTTTATTTTTATTTTTATTATTTTAATTTAATTTGTTACATAAATGTCTGAAACATTTGCGACCAAAAACTTTTGAGATTACGTGTATCTTATTGAAATTTGCACTGTAAGTTACAAAATAAGTCTTTCGGGTCAACATTTGTATTAGCAGGGTTTCACATTTTCCTAAGTACACAAACGAGTTGTCAGTTATGTCACGTAAAAAATTGTGTACTGTTCGGCGTGCGCAAACGATTATCACCGAATTATTTAAGAAATCTCAAATCCATATTTTGTTATCTTTTTTAATAAAATAATCCTAAATCTATCATAAAACTAAAAATACTAAAAATAATTACCGGTTATTAACAATTACTGTGTAAATAACATAACCTTTACATTTACATACACCTTCATCATTTTGAAAATACAAGTAGACATATCAATAATTATGATTATGCATAAAAAAGATAGCGAATTAAACCGGTTTTATTTGATTCATGGTCACAGCAAATCAAGCCTTTTATGGTTCTTTGATCTAACATCTTCCACAATACTTAAATTTACAACCCCTTGCATCACTATCGGTAAAAGTAAATAAATATGGGTACGTCCAATTTTATAGAGAATTTTATACAAACGACAACGAGGCGTCACTTGACTATTTTAAAGGTTCATTTTCGATAATATTATAGGTATACCAAATATTTTAAAAAATGTGGTACCTATCAAGTAACCATATCAAGGTAAAATATTATATTTATCTCGTTTATGATTTATCCCTTTTTAAAGTTTTTACAAGACGTATTTCATCAATTCGTATTTTATACGGCTTAATACGAGATGTGGACGTTTTTCGTACGTCAAGAACTCAAGACTAGCCATTTTTTAATTTCTAGATTTACCTTGTATAAATAGACAAAAAGTAAAAATATCCAATACATTCATGATATAAATTTAACCTAGTTTGATATGATAGATTTTCATGGAAAATTGGAAAAGTATTAAAAAAAATAATAATTCAAAATTCATCTTACAATATATTGAATACAAATGTTGTATCCTAAAGCCTAAACGTTATTATAAAAATTAAGAAATAATGTCGTAAATATAATGACAATATTACAGTACATAAAATTGAACAAAACATTATGTAATACGTTGATAAAAATAGACTTAGGAGTTTCTAACTATTTGTCATTTTAGATTACAATTATTTATCATGGCGAGAATTGTTTGTACTTCACTGATATTAAAATGCCACACGGGCATTTAAGCGAAGATTAAACTATAAATTTAATATTTACAGGATAAATTAATTGTAAAATTATTTTTAGTAAATCATAATTAGATTATAACCAACAACACTTTATAACACAGGAATAGTTCAAGAATATTAAAATGTACAGCATACAGATATCGTAAGTAACACGAGTAAACCAACCTTCCCCTTCCACCCAAAAGGTAGGACCGCGAAAAAATTATTATAATAAATATGCCGGTAAACGGACACCAGCCGGAAATTGAATTTTTTTTATTAGCCGACTTCTCGCGAAAAAAAAATAATATCAACATAGTGCCAAACCAACCTATAACAACAACACACCTGACCATGTTTCCAACAAGCTCATCATCATCAACATCTATCCACGTGAATAATTAATTTTTTTTTCGCTCGAATCGACGCAACAAACGGAACACCTCCACCCACAATAATAACGATAAGTTTTTACTGAGCTCCAATTAACACCATATCCCCTAGCAACCGGTCAATGGCACGGTACAGGTAAACATTGCACCGTGCCTCGGGTAAAACCCAACTTGCCTATCCGTCACGTACGACGAAGTGGTTAATAATATTATTATTACCGAGTAACTAGTATTTACCCATTAACCGGTCGGAGGTGGCAGCGGCCAGAAATCAATCAATATCGTGGAAGGATACGCCTCGACGTAACAACTAACAATAATTATAACACACGGCGGTGATACATCGGCGATATGTTCGATGCAAACGGAAAATATAGTGAACAAATATGAGAAAAAGACGAGGGTAATAACAAAACCTCGATCGGAATGAACCCGGAATAAGGGAGAACCCGTTTTCGTTTCTCATGATTACAATCATTACCTTCCGCTGCGATCCGACGGTGTTGTACCGGTCGTTTCCGGTCAAGTCCAGATCGGCAAAGTTCAGCGACTTGGTCGTTTCCAGCGCCATGGACTTGGCGAACGAGCTCTTGAAGTACTGGTGGTGGACTTGGTGCTGGTCGCGGTCGCCGTCGGACAGACCATCAAACGAACCGGACAGATAATGATTTCTTTCCATTTCCGGCGAGTGGCGTCGTGCTTCTTCCGGGACGGGAACCACCGTCGTCTTCGTCGTTTCACGGGCAATAAACAAACGCGAGACGTTCGCAGCAGTGCATATAAACGCACACACACAAACACACGCGCGCGCACCTAAGTCGTCGACCTTTTACGATTTATTATTACACCTCGCGCCGGTATTGTAGCTACCACCACCTACCTATATGATGGGTTGTTATTTTTTTTTTTTTTGAAACTAGGCCAAAGCCAAACGGTCCAGCGAAAAGACGTGTCCGGTGGCCGTGTCCCGCTGGAATGCGAAGTAAATATAGATCTCCGGGTCTCGAACGGCCGGCGTAGACTTCCGCAAAAATCCGCGGACGAAAATAAAAACGGAAAAAAATTCAAAATGTCACATGGGCCCCTACTGCGCGCGCGCGCGGATTACAAATCACAAAACGGTCGCGACTCGCCGCCGTCCACAATTAATAATCGCACGGGCCACGGACGCGCGACAACCAACGCACAAACCACGGCAACGACGGCCGACGGAAAACGACGACGCTGAACGACGGACGGCTGACTATAGCGCCGCCGAGTACCGACGAAATCGTAGAACAGCCGTCGCCGGACGCGCCACGCTTGCGGCGTGCGGCGTGCGGCGTGCGTCGCATTCGGCGGTTGCGCCGTAGGCGGTTCGGTGGCGGAGAGCGGAACGGTTATCGCGGTTGCGGTTTCGTCCGCTCGAGCGCTCTGTCCGCGTCGACCGCGTGCACGCGAAACACGGTACGGTTATCACTATATAGTAGAATCAGTTGCCGTTATCGTGGACGGTACGGAAAAAAAAATACCACTTCAAAATTGTTTCCTTATCTCCGTTCTCCGTCATCGACTGGTGCGACCAGCCGCGGCCGTCAACGTCAAGCATAAAGCGTTGCAGTATTGCACACGGTCTCGGTCGTACTCGTACCACCACGGGTTAGTAGTACTTCCGATGTACTTACACTCATGACTTGAACACGCTGTGATCTTAGGTACTTAACGTCTTTTCTCCTCTTTTTCCCTCGTTTACGTTCTTCCTATTTTCATTTTCATTCGCTTCAAGCCGTCTCCGGTTCCTGCCCCGCCCAAGCTACGCTCATACTTTCTCCACCGAAATGAAGTTTGCAGAACATCTCCAGGCTCACATCACGCCAGAATGGCGGAAACAGTACATCAACTACGAGGTATGTACCCATACTCGGAGAACTCGCCGGCCTGTTCCAACGACTCTTACTGTAGCTTTCATCATCATATTATTACCTAGGACATGAAAGAGATGCTTTACAAAATCATAGAAGAAGCACCGTCAATAGAGTCCACAGACCCCGAAAACCTGCACCGCCGTTTCATTCAATTCGACGAACATTTTTTGCAGTATTGCGAAAAGGAATTGGCTAAAATCAATGTTTTCTACTCTGGTTTGTAGTGCTACTAAAATATAAATACTCATTGATTTTGTTATTATTTGTGTGATGATTTTTCAGAAAAACTTGCCGAAGCAATGCGTAAGTTTCAAACATTAAAGAATGAACTTGATCTGCTATCCTCCACTGCTGTAAAAATGAAAGATTATGGTAAAAAGTCAGATTCCAATAAACTGAATTTACCTCAACGAAAAGTGCAAGAGCTCAAATTAGCTTTCAGCGAGTTTTATTTGAGCTTAATACTTTTACAAAATTATCAAAATCTTAACTATACAGGGTTTAAAAAGATTTTGAAAAAACATGATAAGGTTTGTGTTTTTATAAATAATATCTTAGTATTATCCTTTTTTTTTCTTTTAATTCATAATAATATAATATAATACCATATAGTTGAATTCCTGTGAAAAACTATTTTTTAGTTTCTTTGTTTCAATGTAGGTAATATCATCCTGTAGAATCTAATACTAATTTATTATTAACTTTTTAATTGATAAACTGTGATCTCCAATATTTTTTGTGTCATCAATTTGCTTACACCTAATTAACCATATCATTTAGCTTCTAATTACTTTCTTATAATCTAAATACTAATCCAATTTTTTTTTTTAATTATTATTTGCCTTTCTTTATTTGCTTAACAAATGTTATGTTGAATTAGTTTTATTGGAATCCTGTCTTATCAGTATTTTTTTAAGCTAAGTAATTTGTAGACATTTGTTTTACATTTTCATAATTATATATTTTCCAATCTTTTATATGTACACAAATCTAATTTTTATGTCAATAGTAAATTAATCTACTACTTGATTGTTGTATTTATACAATTTCAATTGCTTCATTTTTTGTCAATACTGATATTGTTATTGTATCTTAATGATAATTTCAGTTATATGATGAAATCACTAGAATCAAAGTATATGACTATTTTTGTGATTTTTAGGTTACAAAAAAAAAACAATATCTAGACTTAATAAAGTGGGTGGATTGTTTTTCAAGAAAAATAAATAATTTTACATATTTTAATTATTATAATAGGTTAAAAATTAAAATTCAATTTGATTGTTTTTTAAAGAAAATTCTCATCATTCACAAATATTTCCATAGTTATAACATCTTTGTGTATCTCATTCAAATTTTAAATTATTAAACAAAATATTTTTATTCTTTATACATATTAGAGTTTTTTAATTATATGTACATATCCGTTTTTACGTAAATTAGTAGATTACACTTTATTTTCTAATAAAGTTAACTCCTAAAAATCTAAATTACGTTAGTAGTAATAATATCACAAAATATACTGAATACACATTAGTCAAATAGTTAAAAACTTAAAATAAAATGTAAAACAGTTTGTTTTTATGAATACAGCAATAATTTGCTAAAAAAATGACTACCTACATTATTTTCTAAAAAATGTGGAAAAATGTTTTTAAAAAAAACTTTCACGCATTGTAAAGTCAATACATTCATATAAAATTGTCTAAAACAGTCTCATTGGTTATTACTAATTAATACATTTTTAGAAAAAATTTTCTAAATTTTTAGAAAATAGTGTAGTATATTATTTGACTATTTGACTAATGTGTGTGCAGTATATTTTGTGATATTATTACTACTAACGTAATTTATATTTATATAATTATTATAAATTAGGTATATTTTTATAATTAAATAATTTGATATTTAAGTTAATTTTATTAAAAAGTAAAGTGTAATCTACTAATTTAAGTAAAAACAGATAAATTTGGTTATTTTTTCCTAGATTCGTACAGAACATATTTTTATTTTATATAAGATAATTTTTCTTACATTTGTTGCTTATAGTTTAAAAAATAAACTATATTAATAAATTAAAACATTTAAATTTTAATAACTTAACATTAGTTATTATTATTTAGAGTAAACAGTTATATTAAAATACTTAATGCATTTTTTCTTTAGTTTTTAAATATGTCTAGATAAACTATGTCACAGTGACTTTAATATTCATATTTTGATTTAATCTTATAAACCATTACAAAACTCAATCAAATGTCTTCTATTGTTTAAATTGTATTGATTTATCAATTATCTGTCTTGTGTCATGTTTCATTATGATAATCAATTAATATTAAGTGTAATATTTACAAACATAAAATTCTTGGTAGGTACTGTCATAGGTTTCTGTTATAAATAATAATATGGAATAATATCCATTAATTTAAGTACCCTTATTAATTTAATTTAATTGCTTTTTTTTAAAATTATATTTTAACTTAATAAGAGCTTGATAATTTTATAGTGAAAAACAAAAATCTTTTAAATTTGACAATTTTTTTATATAATATACACGTTTAAGTTATACAACTTAAGTTATTTAGGTTATTACTAGGGCTCATATTTATATGTAAATACATATTTTTATTGTGACTTGATAAATTAATTTAGGTAAGTGATAAATTCGTTTCAAGGGATTTCCATTGTAATGAACTATATTTTATTTTACATATTTTTACATATTTCTCAATAATTCCATTTTTCCCTACATATTTTGACAATTTACAATTTATTAATAGTTGTATACGATGTATTTGATTTCCCATGTTTCAAAAAGTATGTAAACTAAATAATACCAATTATCAAAACAGCGTATTACATCAACATCTTGGTTTAGACTGTCTAAAACTAATTAGAKGTACACATTGCAAAATGAATGGGGTAATATTTCCGGCTGAACTCACTGCTTTGGACATTGCAAATATGAAATTTGCACCTATTACCTCGGTTGAAGTCGAGCACTCTTTCAGTCAGTACAAATCTGTGTTATGACCAAACCGTAGATCATTTTGACAATTTGAGCATGTATATAGTATCTCATTGCTTTCAAGATCAAGATCAAGATGAATAATAGTAGTAAAATAAGTAAATTAGATAATTATGTGATTTATGAAGCTATTTTTTTGTATTCCATATTTTCATTTTTTAATCACATATAAAGTGATTTATTATTACATATATATTTACATAATTTGGTTTTTTTAATACATATAAATCCGAGTCCTAGTTATTATACATATTTGAAATTGAGTATCATATAACTATAGATTAGTAGGTGCTATCTTCTGGTTAGAACTTAATCTAACCAGGTACTCTTTTATGACCTTTTATTAATAGATCGGTTCTCTACACTTTTCCATTGTGTCAAAATAGTAGGCACTTTCGATTACCAAGTTACTGTGATACAGTACAATATATATTTACTTATATGACATAATAGCACTAAATTATCAATATATTGGGTATAAGATTGGTCAGTATATGAGTTGATGGTCCATTATTACAACATGACACATGAAAGTTGAGAATTAAAAAAAAAAAATTTTTAAATATTTTTTATTTTTTTGCTTTAAATTTATCTTCATGATTCTATCAGTTAAATCCATAAGTCATACTGCTCTCTGTTTAACTATTTCCTAGTAATCTTATAATTAATAAAATTTGATATAGAAATGTCAACAATTTTAAATATACACCTAATTTTAGTTGATTAATGTCAGGAAAACTTTAATAACGAAAAAAAAAAATCCATAAGCCACAATGTATGAGTTGATAGTCCATTATTACAACATGTAATATTACAACATAACACATGAAAGTTGAGAATTAAAATTTTAAATTTTAAATAGTTTTTTATTTTTTTGCTTTAAATTTATCTTCATGATTCTATCAGTTAAGTCCATAAGTCATACTCCGCTTTGTTAAACTATTTCCTAGTAATCTTATAATTAATAAAATTTGATATAGAAATGTCAACAATTTTAAATATACACCTAATTTTAGTTGATTAATGTCAGGAAAACTTTAATAACGAAAAAAAAATCCATAAGCCACAATAACAATTTTTGAAAGTATTAAAAAATGTATAAAAGTAAAATTGTTGGTTAATATAGATTTATATGATGGCTAAGCAATAGCATATTTGAGTAGACCATTGTCGGCCTGGTACTTAAAGGGCCCCGGATGCATTTATTCAGAAGGGCCCCCAAACATTTTATTAAATAAAAATGATAAAAAATGCTTATAAGTAGTGAAATATTATATTTTTAGTAATATCGGGGCCCCTCGACATAAATACGGTGCCGGGGGCTCCGCATTGCGTTCGCGGCCATGGCCAGGCCGACACTGGAGTGGACCAAATATATCACCGTGTTTTTCCCAAAATTATGATTTTTAATAACAATTACTAATTAGCATTAAATACAACATCATAAATGTCATTGCAAATTTTATGATTTAATAAATGTAGGGATTCTGAAGAATATTAAGAGTTGTATTAAATAATTTTACTCACAATCTACATCTTTATCAATGTTGAGATACACTATTGTGTTTTAAATATTTTATTATTTCTTTAGTCATTCTTAAAATCTTAATTATTAAGTTTCAAACAATGTTATGTTTATGTTTTAGTTGTTGAATAAAGAAAGTGGGGCAAAGTGGCGTCAAGAGCAAGTTGAACTATCTCATTTTTATACTAATAAAGACATATTACGTTTAATTAATGAAACTGAACATACTGTTACTCATGATCTGGAATGCGGTGATCGTCAAAAAGCTATGAAAAGACTCAGAGTTCCGCCCCTTGGTGAAACACAAAGTCCTTGGACTACTTTTAAAGTGGGATTATACTTAGGATGTCTTATTGTTTTGCTAGTTGCAATTTTCATTTCTGGTGAGTGTACATTGTATCTGAGTGTATATAAAAATTATATTAATTATTTTAAAAATAATGTTTGATTTGTTGTTTTAGCTACTTTTGAAAAAAATACCAACATTAAACAAGCATTCCGTTTATATCGTGGACCATTCCTTATTATAGAGTTCCTTTTTCTGATGGGCATTAATGTTTACGGATGGCGATCTTCTGGTGTTAATCATGTTTTGATATTTGAACTGGATCCAAGAAAGCATGTTACTGAACAACACCTGTTTGAAATAGCAGGAATCCTTGGTGTTGTGTGTGCTCTTAGTATTTTAGGTTATTTATACTCTGATGCTTTGAGTATACCTGCATATATAAATCCATTGTCCTTAGTAATTTTATTTACACTGCTTATGATAAACCCAATTAAAATATTTTACTTTGAAGCAAGGTTTTGGCTGTTACGTATAGTAGTAAGTTAATTTGTATATTTATAAGTTGTTTTTTTTATCTTATAAAATATTTAGAATTATAAAATTTGATTTTAGTGGCGAATGGCTTGTGCTCCATTTTATTATGTTGGATTTGCTGACTTTTGGCTTGCAGATCAATTGAACAGTTTGGTAACTGTACTGCTCGATGCTCACTATTTGGTTTGCTTTTACATTTACAATAACAATTGGTATCAAACTTCAGGTTAGGAAAATTTTTTATTTAAAATATAGTTTTTGAATTGAACGATATTTACACTTTTTGATCTGTGTTAATAGTGTATTTCTTTAATTTTAGATGTTAAATTTAATGTTGAAGAATATTTTATTTCTAAAATGATAGTAAATTGTATTCCTGCTTGGATTCGATTTGCTCAATGTATTAGACGTTACCGGGATACTGGTGAAACATTTCCACATTTAGCTAATGCCGGAAAGTATTCAACAACATTTTTTGTTGTGTTTGCAAGAACATTGTTGAAACAAACAAAAAGTAATAAATCTTTTTGACTGTATATTTAATACTTATTATTATGTTCAAATGTGTGAGAATGTTTTTGTCTTGTTTCAGATAACTATACTAGTAGTTATGATAATCCATTCTTTTTTTTTTGGGTTATATGTTCTGTGATAAGTTCAATTTATACATACACCTGGGATGTAAAAATGGATTGGGGTTTATTCAATAACAATTCTGGAGAATATACATTCTTAAGAGAAGAGATTGTATATGATAATACAGTAAGCTAATTTTTGTTTTATTTTTAATATTTAAGTATGGGGTTTTTTTACTAAATGCATTTAAATTATGCCATTTGTCTCTTTTGGTACTTAAGTGTGAAATTAAAAATACATTAATATTTTAATATTTTATGATGTGTAATATGATAATTATTTATTTAGGGTTATTATTATTTTGCAATTGTTGAAGACCTTGTGATTAGATTATTATGGGTTCCCCAATATTTACTTACAAGTTATGGTATTTTATCTACTGAAATGGCTAATTCTTTAGTATCACCTCTTGAAGTCTTTAGGTAAGGAATTCAATTCAGTATAGTATTCATATTGAATATTTTTTATTAACTTATTTTTTGGTTTTAATTACAGACGATTTGTATGGAATTTCTTCCGGTTAGAAAATGAACATCTAAACAATTGTGGTAAATTCCGAGCAGTAAGAGACATATCAATAGCGCCAATTGATTTCTCTGACTCTGCTCAAATAGTTCGCATGATGGACGAGGAGTTGGGTGTGACGAACAGACGGAAACGTAAGCTTCTTCCAACAAAGAAGACTTTAAAAGAAGATAGATTGCAGTTAGTTACTGACCGAAATTCATATTCTTTGGATGTAACTGAATAAATCGATTAAACATCTAACATAATATATTCTACTTTATAATTCCATTACATTTTGTATAGAAATAAATTGAAATCTTGATAATAGACTTTGTAAGCTCAAGTATATTTATATATATAGTCGAAAACAATCGAATTTAATTTAATTTTTAGAACGTATTTTTAATGAATGCAAATTACTAAATGTGTTACTTAAAAAGAAATAAAAAAAGGGTACTGAAATGATTTTATACACTTAAATATTGTGATCTCTAGTTTAATTAAGTAGTATAATATATTTTCAATTAACCTTGGTTTAGTATTAACTATGATTTTATTACGGATGTACGGGAAATTGGTGCCTACCTTATTTAATTTTTTTTTGTGATTTAGTAAATGAATAATAGTCAATTCAACATAATGAAAACATGTTTTTTAATTAATTAAAATATTTTTATTCCTTTATTATTATTTGTTAATGTTCCTGTAAATGTGTTTTCAATGAAAGCCAAATTAGTTATAATTAAAGAATTTAATTATAGGTGTACACATTCATAACAAATATATATTTATAATTATTATGATTTTTATTTGTAAAACATGAATATCAATTAATTTTCATTGTGTAATATTACTATAATATTAAAAATAGTTTTATGATAAAAATCTGTTATATTTTATTTATTTTATCTACTCATATATTATATATTTATATATTTATTTATAAACAATTTATATTTGTTAAAATGGTTAATTAAATATTTAGAAATTATATCAATAATTAAATATTTTTTGTTAACCTTTTTATAAAATATTATAAAATCTACTTAAACTGCAAAATATATATATAATATTTAATGGATGCTAGGTGAGGCGTGGTCATATGCTCAATCTGTGGAAATACACCGAGTGCACTTACTGGTCGCAGTTGCTAACTCCTGGATGGGTGACCACTCGGAATTTTAAGCTACATATCCTTGCCACACATACACAAACATGTGTTACAGCCCTGCCAACTTGAAAAACCTACAAACTAATGCACAAAAATAACCCCTACAGTACTACCCCACACCCAATGTCCTATGTTGTCGCGGGTTCCACTACAAAAAAAAAAAATTATATTTAATGATAAGGATCATAAATTCTTGAGATAATTATTTGATTAATGGTGGAATGTTACAACTTTCAAGTTTTTTCAATTTATATTTTTAAATTAAAGCTAAATAACAAAAATTGTTTGGTTGTTTTTTGAAGCCAATATATTTAAAGCCAATATTTAAGCCTTTATGATAAACCGTTATTTTATTTATGAATATTTATACAAAATTTGAAATCATAAAAATGTATATTGTGTTTTAGTGCTATTTCTTTAAAAAAAATTGAATTTTTTCCTATTAATTTTAAAAAATATTGAGTATCTATTATTGTATTGTTTAAAAAATATATCTTTAAAAAAAATTGAATTTTAAACACTTATAAAATAATAAATACTTAATAGTGACTAGGTTTTCAATAGGTATGTTAAATTAATTTTAATCTGTGTAAGAAAAACTTATGAGGAACTTCATATTTGATCTTCAATCTTTTTTTAATCACCAACAAATATTTTCTAGTATACAAATCAAAACATTAACGAAAATTATATTATGTCTAAGAAATTCTTAGATAAATTCTTGGAGTAATAATCAAGACATCAAGTATCTGTCACCACAGTTAATATTTTATAATTAAAAAAAAAAATTAATTAGGTACCTATGTCAAACAGTGTGTATAAGGTAGGCCGACAAGATGCGGGCCAGCCCATTTTTATTTGACTGGTTTTTTTTTCTCACAATTGAAAATTATTAATATTTATTACATTAAATATGTAAATGTCCTATAGGTAACCACTCTATAAATTATTATTATTATTTTTTTTACAATTTTTATTTTGTTTCCTCTAAAGTCTATAAAGAATTATGACTGAAGTTAGTTTTCCTAGTATATTAAAGTAGATAGTAAGTAAAGTATATTACTCTTAGAGTATTTAATCAATATTGTTAAAAATAAATATAAAATCCCTAATAGTTATAAAAACACATCACCAAAAAAAAAAAAGTTGGAAAGTGGATGTCGCTCTGCTGTACAGTAGGTTACAAGTGGGTTACTGTAATGGATGGAATTAAATTTGAATACAATGATATATGATATATCATTGTATACGAAAAACGATTCTGAGCGGAAACGGTTTATCTGTCTAGGATATATTATATAATATATATTATTAAAATTTTTCAAATCTTAGATTTAAAAAGTAAAATTTTTATATTGTCAAAATTCAAACTTTGAATGCTTATAAAAAAAAAATTGTGACAATATATTTCTTTTATTTTTCAACTGCAATTGTAAAAATATGTTAGGAACCTTGTATTTAAATTTCAAATCTTACATTTAAAAATAAAACTTTTATGAATTTCTAGCATAAAATAATTTGCGAACTTTCGTGGTTTTTACGTATTTTGTCAAAATTCAAACTTTGAATGCTTGTAAAAAAAAAATTGTGACGATGTATTTCTTTTATTTTTCAACTGCTATTGTAAAACTATTTTAGTAGCCTCGTATTAAATTTTCAAGCTTTTCTACCCAACAAATACATTTTTATTGATATTAATTAAAAAAAAACTAATAATGATCGAAAATTGCATATGCCTATGAAAAGTTCAACTTAAGTCGAAATTTTTGAAAATTGCATGGTAGATAGAATATACTTATATAAAAATTCGGTGAAAATTTCATGTATCTATGATCATTTTTTTTTTTAGTTACATCAAAAACCAAAATCGATTTTGTCGAAAACTGATTGTGAGTAAAATTTCCCGTTTTCCCCTTAATTTTTAGTTTGTTTATCCCGATTATTTAGAAAAATATTAAGAATTTTTTATTTTTGACGCCCCCCCCCCTCAAAGTACCAACTTGATTCACTTTTTGATCGAACGAGGTACTGAAGTCAAAAATCGAAGCACTTTTACTGCCCCAAAACGTGATGACAGACACAAAAAAAAAAATAAAAAAATAAAACACACATCATGGTAAAATCAATACATTCATCGCTTCGCTCAGAATTTAAAATGGGCCATTTTGTGCTGTACATGTGCCACTTACCCGTGTTATGTACCTATTATTATTTTCGTAAAGTAGGAATTTGAAACTTTCGACACCCCCCTCCCCCCCGCCATAATGTTAAAAATGATTGATGAGCTTCGCAACCTATAGAAAATTCATAATTTTGTGTGTAATTTACTCAAGTCACGAGGTAAATATCATATTTTTTACTATGTATAATAATAATAAACCATCCCTAATGTAGATCATAGGCGGAGCCAGCCTTCACGTTCAGGGGGTGCAAATATTTTTGTTCCACCCCCTCCAAAAAAAAAAAATTAACACTACTTTATTATATTCATAATAATATATTAMATCACAAAAATAATTATATACAATGTCGATCTCACAATATCTGCATACAACGTTTGTACCTACTCCACACTAAATTGTCTGTGCTGTTTTGGGGGGTGCCACCGCATACCCTGCACACCCCCTGGCTCCGCCTATGATTATGTAGATAGATTAAGGCGCACTACGTCGTTTATTGTTCGGCTTAATATCCATCACTGTACGGTAAAGTTATGGTAACATAATAAAAAACATCGAAATACTTTTTTGTTTTTTTTTTCCTTTAAAATTTTACACGGTAGGTAATGATTTAGATATTTTATCGATTAAGCCTTTTTTTTTT